ATGGTTTTATCAACAATTAAAAACCATTTTTTCGTTTTTTCGGAATGGAACTAAAACGTTTAAACGTTTTTTGTCGAATAAAAAACCTTTTTAGGTTTTTTAAAATACTTTTTTTTTTTAGAGTGTAAGGTTAGAAATTATTTATGGAAAATGCTCGACGCATTTCACAGAGTACCTACAGGAATTCTGCGAGGATTTTCCAGTTTATAGAAAATCAAATTTCCAATAATCTGAAAAATCGTCGTTGAATTCTCAAGAAAGTGGAAATTCCTTTTTGATTTTCTATAAACTGGAAATTCCTCAGCGATTCTCCACCTTTATAGAAAATCGAACTTATGGAAATTCAAATCGATTTTCAATTAAGTAGAAAATCAATATTTCCTAGAAAGTTGGAAGGAATCGAGGAATTTCTATAAACTAGAAAATCTCCGGGGATTTTTTGGTCGATTTTCTATAAACTGGAAATTAATTCAAGATTACAGTGTAGTGATATTTACAGAGAAATATCGTTAGCAATATTCTCGCAAACGTAGTGAGATCCTCCTCATATGGACTAGAGTTTGAAAGTAGTGTTACGTAAGATTATAAGTGTGAGATATGAATATGTATTTTAACTACCATTTTTACACGACCTCAAGCATTATCGGACTGACAAAACAAACGTAAAATGGAAATGTCAAACAAAACATCCAACCGTTGAAAACATTAAAATATCAGATCCTAAAGAAAAAGCTGGGATTCAATGATGAACGTATCATATGATCTTCCTTATGAATTGATTATAGTGGACTGTTGCTACGTCATAACATGTATATATTCTTCGACGAATGAAGACTTCACTTTGTCACATGATGTCACAAGTGTCAAATGACACAACAAATAGATATGGTAACGTTCCTATTGTCTTCGGACATTTTTATTATATTATCATCAATACTTAGATCATACTACCTTAGAAAATTTTACTTTTAGAAAGAGTTGTACATATTACTTCTTTAGGCTACAGTATTATGCATTCAAAGTTTCCGAAAATATTTTATTCATTGCAAATCATATAATCAAATATACAATTTCGAGTGATCCAAATGAAACTGTCGGTTTTTGATAGGCTTTTTTCTCAAGTTAGACTTAACCAGAAATTTTGGTTCTGATGCTAAAAGATAGAGAATTTTGTGTAGATTTTATTGATATGTTTTTTTTAAATAAATATGTACCGTTCTTTTGTAGCATTAAAAGCATTGGATGCCACGAAAATATCATTTGCTCAACTACAAAATCGGAAACATGTAAAAATCAATTTTGCCCAGCTAGATTGAGTTCAAAAATTCCTTTCTTGTAGTAAGAGATATAGAATTTTTCGGTGTATCTCGTGGTGTTTTAGATTTGATAAGCTTAGTTACTTCTCCTTCGAAAACTACAAAACATCAAAAAGACGCTTACAGCATCCTACTTTTCTTTAGCAATTTTCTCACAACCTGGTCTTACAAAAATTATCCTTTTTATCTAAACAGACGCAGAATTTAAAGCTCTACAAAATGCTCTTCGTTATAAGGACTGATCTCGTTTCTAACCAAATGACGAATTTGAAATGTGTATTTTTGGCATACTTTCATTGGCATGAAAGTATGCCAAAAATAGAGAATTAGGCCTATTTTGTAGGCGGTTTTCAACATAGTAAAATTCAGTGCAAAAGTTTGATTTTTTGTCTCCAAAACATACGTTTCTATACTTTTCCATGGTGTATTTGAAAAAGCGTTTTTAGCAATAAAAATGACATTTTATTGCAGTCAAGTGCTGAGTAAATGATGTTTTTCGGGCATTCAATACTTTTAATGCTACAAAAGAACGGTACATGCTTATTTAAAAAAAAACATATCAATAAAATCTACACAAAATTCTCTATCTTTTAGCATCAGAACCAAACTTTCTGGTCAAGTCTAACTTGAGAAAAAAGCTCAAAATCAAAAACCGGTAATTTAATCTGAACCACCCGTTATACACGATTGAATGTTTTTTTCATTAGTCACAATCAATCCATTATGTAGATAGGAAAAGTAATGAGTTTTATCTAATTTTTTTTCTAAGTTCCTCATCGTTTATTTACTATAAACTATTTCAATTTCTTGCTCAAGGATCAAAACTCTTTTCATTAACACAAAAGTATGTTATCTAATTTATACAACAAAATCATCATAATGTTAACACAGTTCTGGTATAATGGTTTTTTGTTCTAATGGTAGTATAAACATATGAAACTTGTGAAAGATTTATCTGAAACTTATGCTAAGACATAGTTGTTTGAAATACAATCATTCAACAAGTGCCAGTCTGTTTCCATCATGATGAAATCTTAGGTATATGAGAAAGACACATATACTTCTTTAAGATTCAGTAAAGATTTGAGAGGAAGTCCCATTCTGTAGTACAACGTGCGAAGCCATGTTGAATCGATCTAGCACTAACAAATTGAATAAATATCCAAACTTTTATTGTATGATTTCCATATTCAAATATGCTGATATTAAATCATTGTAAAGAATTTCTAATTTTTGATACGAATCTAATGTTTTATCAAACCACATAACTGTCATTAAATTTAACATCAAAACATCAATTCCAGCAGTTAACAATCTATAAAATATTCTTAAAATAATATTATACATGCATATAGCGTTAGTTAAGGGAACGTCCGAAATGACATGATGATCGTATTAGAATGAAAATTCCGAAACGATCTTTCCAGATTCTAGCTGAAGAGCTGGCAGGTTGTATTTGAACTTATTTTAGAATATAATGTTGAATAATTATCAAAAGTCCATTGACATTGCTTTGTTTAATAAAAATTATTGAATAATTAATTTACTGATCAACTGTCATAGTAGAACTGTAGTAAATACAATCAAATGTATTTATATATGCTTAATGAATATATAAACAATACTAGATGACTACCTCGACTTTTATTTACGGTGCCTCTGAAAACTATTGAACCACAGTCATTTTTCAGTTTTTCTTCTCAAACATAATAGCTAGAATAAATCTGATGAAAGATTTAAAGAGTTTCTTATGAAGGCAAAGGACAAGGTTATTTAATTTTTAGTATTGCTAGATGTCAAAAGTTGATTGTGGACTGTCACATCCTAAAATTTTTCATCATCGCTGAGCAACGATTCAAAAAGCCGATTTGATTCTTTTTTTTTCTGTCAGTTCAATGTTGTTAGTAGAATATTATACATGAAAAAATGTACAATTCAACACTTTAGTGAAAAACTACATAACTTTTTACAAAATATCTTCCGTTACCACTTGGAAGAAATCTTTCATTCTTCTGGTATGACGAAACGCATCTGTTATTGCAAAAGATGTGCACAACATTGAAAAATTAAAAAATTTACACAGGTTCTTAATACACATGTGTAATTAAATCGAACTGTTTTTTCGTTGTTCATTTAAGTATTTCGACTCTTGTGGAACGAAATAAATATTAAAAACTTGTGTACTGAGAATATCAGTAAACTAGGGTAAGAGAACTTTGATATCCTTTTTTTAGAAATTTCCTTTCATTTCGTTTTAAAAAAAGGACGTTAGTTTTCGTCGAAATCTCGTCTTCTAAGGACGATATAGGCCGCTGTATATACTACGAGCCGTATAAAAAATTTATGGAAAGTTTGTCGTAGTCCCCTTTTGTAATAAACAATATGCAGTATTTATGGTAAAATTTTGAAGTCTGTGCTGTGAAAGTTTGAAGTTGACTATTTTCTCTAGTATTTTGAATTTTTATTGTTTCTAAATCTTATTGTGAGATTTTCGCCAACGCTGCCATTTCTCCACCTGCAATCACCACCAGGAAAGAGAATTTGATAGTTCGTCAATTAAGGCTACGATTTAGTCACTAAATAGTCATTTTATCAATTATTTTTATTACTGCTAGTATTTCCCACAACAACTTGCACATTTTAGATTTACTTTATAAACTATCGCTGCATGAGTTAGTCGAACTTGTGCCTTTTAAGAACTACCGATAATTTTCATTAATCAAACCTGACGCATTGCTCAAAATTCCTGTTATAGCCACTGTTTTTGACGGCTATACTGGAGAAAAACCAAGTTAAAGGTAAATATCAGCTGTTTAAATGACTTACCGTTGGCTTCTTTTTACCCAGTCATGATATATAAGACTTCCATTGTGAAAGCTTTTTGTTATTCGAAGGTATAAATGTGTTACTTTTCTACATATGTCGCTCATAGGCTCGGAAAACTATATTGATCAAAGAATAAATTTGAAACAATGGCTGTCTAAGAGAAAAAAAGAAAAAAAGAGGAAATAACATATGTTCGAAATTGTAATTACAATTTAATAAAAATTTATGGCACAAAACAAAAAAATACCAAAATAGTAAACAACGACGATATATTTTTTTTCTATTTAATGATTAAAAATGATGTTCAAAATATTGTACTTTTTTTAGATGATTGTTTTTTTTTCACGGCATCAGTGAATGATCTGCTAATAACAAGAATTGCGATCATTATGCCTATTTTCAGTCATTTTAATGAAACATAAATTCTTTTATTTTTCAATAAGAAATAATAAAGAAGAAAACAAATAAGATATAAAAATGAGTACACCATGTAGTTTAGAACATTGTCATACAAATTTATTTTCATTGGTAAGTATTGATACTGTTATGATATGTGTTTATCTATATTCAAATATAATTATTATATTTTAGCAAAGTTTAAACGATATGAAATGGAAATGTTTTCGTCGTTCAACTAATTATCGTGTGGAAACAACAAGTCAAGGACGTTATGATCTTTATAAAGATCCTGTACTGTTAGCATATTGGCATTGTTTAAAAACTGATACACTATGTGCATGGAGAAAAGTTCAAGCAGAAGAATCAAAAATTGAAAAAGAATTATGGTTATTTGGTATTAATGATGATTTACCAACAGATTTGCCAGATTTACGACGTATGTATATAAAATCATTTCTTATTGTCCTTGTGAGATTCAATTGAATTATGTGCTCTAAATCTATTATTATGAAAATTA